TTTACCTTCATCTAAAATGTTTTTATCATCAGATTCTTGTTTTTGAGGTACATGTTTAATCACATTGATTAAAGCCTGATTGTTTTTCTGATATTTAATGCGTTCATCATATTCATTATTGATAAAATCATCAGGATTATCTTGATTTTGATTATTGTTTATGGGATCATCATCATTTCTTTTTTCTTGAGCTGGTGGTGTATCAACAATTTCGAATTCATTATTGATCAAAGAATCGTTTAATTCGTTAGTTGAAATTGTTTCTTTAATTTGCATTTTTTTATTTATTAAAGAAAGAACCTAAAATTTTCAGCCTCATTATTTCCCATATTTACAATCAATGGACAGTTTCACGTGATTATTATAATGCAAGATAATTAGAGTATAAAAACAATAAATAATAAAGAGGGTTTAGGTTTTTTTGATATTATGTCAAAGTGACTTACTTCTAATGTAAAAGATCATTAATAAAACTCATCCGAGCATCCACGATGTCAAAATAAAAAGTCCCTTAAAAAAAAGGTAATTATAATAAATTTTGTTTATGAAAAAGGACTAAGGGTATAGATAGTGATGGAGATCCAACAAATACTGACGGATTGATCTTTGCTAAATATTTTGATATTCCGTAGTTTTTACCAAAAATTTGAACTTGGTAAAACTTTGCTGGGATATTGACTTGTACTATTAAGTAAGTTTACTTGAAATTATCTACAGTTAAATTGGAAAAATTTGTTCTATTGACAAAACGCAAAAGGTCAAGAATTTGTATTCTGTTGATATAGCTTCATTTTATATTATTATGCAAGTTAACTTCAAAAGCGAGTTTGATTACCAGTTATATTGTGAAATAACTGATATTATCATTTGTCAAAAGGTGCTGGATTGTGCTAGAAGTCTTGAAATTACTGGATTTCCAGCGTTGCAAGAAAGTTTCAATTTTAATTATTTTAATTTATTAAATTTTATACTTTTTAATTTAAAAAAGAATGCCAATTGACGAACCGAAGATTTTAATCTCAGGATATAATTTTGAACAATTCTGATGAAGCTAACAAATCTCTCGTTAGTGGCTCCATTACTGGTATAAAGAAAAACATAGATAGAAATATGAAATGCAATTTATACTCATGAATTACTTTCTTGATTCATAAATTCAAAATCCAAAAATGTATTCGTAGTATTGATAAAAACATTCTAGTGCAATTACTACTTGAATAATTTATTATGGATTT